CCGTTTCCTAGCGCTTCCGCCCGCGGTGCCTTCACACATAAAAGAATGGATGGCTTCCTCCATCGTGCCCGGGCAGGGGTGGCCAGGGACAGCTGAGGGAATGGCCCCAGCCACGGGAAGTTCACGGGGCTGCCGTGCTTCCCTGGGGATGCAGAGCATCCCGTGACAGTGGGTTATTCCCCAGGAAGGGGAAAGCGGGCAGGGGATCCGGGCTCTGCCACCCCCAGAGGTGGATGGGCAGGGAACACCAGCAGGTTGGCTACACGTTGTAGGTGAAACAGGGCAGAAAGTATAAAATCCTGGGGTTTAGCACTTCCGGGAAAGCAGGTTTGAAACCCAGAAGGCAGCCGGATGCTGAACGCATTCAGGCCCAGCAGTGCTGTCACCACGTGGGAGCCACAGCTCCACGTGCTGCCCCCACCCCGGGGGCTGCATCACGGGCACCCACCCACCCAATGTGCTGCCCCACAAACCAGGGTGCAGTGTAAATGCTCGGCCTTGGGGGAGGAACACCAGCCAACATTTTACACATCCTCAATTGCCATCTTTTCAACACCCCACCTGTCACCACAGAAAGCCACAACCTCCAGCTGCCCAGAAGGCTGCCAAGAGCGCAGGTTGCCGGAAAAGCTGCAAAATGAGCTCCAAGATGGGAGATCTTTGGCAGGTGGGGGGAGGATTTTGGGAGGGTGATGCCCTGGGGGGGCAGAGGGGCAGCAGTAAGTGCCCAGCAAGCAGGGTAGGCTGGTCCCGGCTTGCCAAGACCTGCTATGGGCAGGATCATGCTCATGGGATCTTCCAGGCACATCCTGCCCATGTAGGACATGGTCACTCCACCATCCCAGAGATACCTCCCCCCCCATAGCCCATGTGACCCTCTCCATCCTGGCAAGTCTTGGGGTCCCATGGGAAAAACTCTGGCATCAAGGGGTGGGGGAACATCAATTCATCTACTAAGATGAAAAGCAGCAGTGCAGGTCTCCTGTTACCACATGGCACTTGCAAGCTTTAACCCTAAAGCAGTTTCAACCAGCTAGCATAGCATTTACTAATTGTAGCCAAAAAACCCAACCTG